CGCCAGCAATCTGTCCGAATATCTCACAAGCAAACTGACAAGTTCTGAGTTTACAGTGATAAAAAAAAAATGGCCTCTTCCTCATCCCTAACCTACTAACACTGAGAGCCAGAAATGTACAGTAATTTGGTCGATGCTTTTGTTCAAAAGGACTCTAAGTTTATTCAGACGCATAAGGAACAAAAGAAGCTATATGTCATAAAAAAATGGAATTGCAACCCTCCAATGTTAATATAAAGTTTTTAAATGAGCCTTTGCTGCTACCTGACTTACCATGAAAATTAAAATGTCTTTAGCTCGTCTTGACTTTGAGACGAGGGAACTGGAAGTGCATCGCTCTATTTACAGCTTGTATAGATTTTTTTTTTTTTCATTGAACACAGATGGTAATGTAATGTAATAAAGTCACAGTGTGCTTCAGCTCAGTATTGCCTCGCTCAGCTCACGCCAGATCACTCCAGTGGTGTTTCCTGACACATTAAGCCCCATTTCTCTTTTTTTTTTTCTTCTTCTTCTTTTTCACACACACACACACACACACACACACACACACACATATGCAGTGGTCATCCTTTCTTGTGTGAGGTTTATAGCTCATGCAGAGCCGGCCTCCACCTCTCGGCTCAGCAGAGTCGGGCTGCGTTCAGCTCTGCTCTCAGGCTGCCTGTGCTCGGTGACATCAGCCTTCAAGTATGCGCTCCTTCATGGCCGAGCCAGGCGAGAGCTCGGGTGGCCCCATTCATCTCAAGGTGCTGTCCGTCTCTAACACACTCCCTCTTGTCACCCACCGTCTATCCTTCAGATGTGTCGGATAAGGGGGATCGAAGAGGAGAACACTTACGACCCGATAGTTTTGTCCGTCTGTGGTAATCTTAATATTCACATTACTTGTGCTATGTGGCTGGGACTCATCAATGCTGAAGTAACAGAAAGGAGTAGCTTTGAAATGTTTATGTTGTAATTATTCCAAAGACCTGCTAAGCTCACACACTGCAACTGTGAGTGACTTTCCACACTATTAAATGTCTGAATGAGTTCATGTCTCTGGTTGCAAGAAAGTGCATCTCTTCCCCGTGTGGAAATGTCTTTAGTTCCTCATGCTTGTGAAAGATTATTCATGAAGCTCATCCTCTCAGGCCCCTCGTATCTATCTCATAATGTTGGGCGATGAGCTTTACATCTGCACAATGCATGCTGGGTCTTTTCATTTGCATCGGAATGGGATTGCTTCAGCTTCAGCTCTGACTAATGTCTTCCCCATGTCTTCCTCTCATGCGACCGGACTTTCAATGCTTTGTTTTTGTTTGTGTCTCTCAGAATGAAGAGAAGCGCAACCTAAATTTGGGCGGACATGTTGGATTTGACAGCCTCCCCGACCAACTGGTCAGCAAATCGGTCACACAGGGATTTTGTTTCAACATTCTCTGTGTAGGTGAGTACCAAACGGCAGCGTGTGAACATTTTCCCTCCATCTTTGCTTGATTTGTTTTGCTCCCAAACAGCATGAAAGACTGCGTGATTGAACTCCCTCCCTCTCTCGCTCTACTTCCTCCCATCCACAGGGGAGACCGGTATCGGCAAGTCCACGTTAATGAACACGCTCTTCAACACCATGTTTGAGAACGAGGAGGCGAGCCATTACCAGAACGGCGTGTATCTGCGGCCGCGAACATACGACCTGCCAGAAAGCAACGTCAACCTCAAACTGACGATCGTAGACACCGTCGGCTTCGGCGATCAGATCAACAAAGAGGACAGGTGAGGGTGGTGAGGGTGGTGAGATGGTGATCGGTGACGTGATGAGTCAAAAGATGTCTGAATGCACGAGAACACAAACTGATATCGGTCCGGGTTTGGCTTTTCTCTGTAGGATGGGAATAAGACGAGGAGGGACAGCAATAAAGAGGAAATGGCAGATCTCTTTTTTTTTTTTTTTTTTGACATGCAGCTGTGGAATGTAGTGTTCTTGTTGTGACCTAGCCAGCGAGCAGGACTCTCACGCCCTTTTGATAGCAGCGCTCTCTGTAGGCCGTATAAACCAACGGGCTGGAGGACGGACCCCAGCAGTGGACTGTAAACGCACACTGAGAGACTCAAAAGGTCAGAGTCGCTGCATTCCTCAGAGAAGAGGGAAGAGAGATGTGTAGGGAGAGGACAGATGACTGTAGACATGCTGCTGGCTGAGGATGTAGAGTAAAAATGTGGACTCATGTGTCACTCTGAGCTGTAAAATGTGGAAAGACTGTTATTAGATTAAGCAATCGTTACCACTAATCACCACCAGCACACACAGAAACAGCTGGCTATCCAATCTAGAGATCAGTCTCCTCATAGCGCTGAAGCTGCACATTTTAGGCTTGTTTCTTGTTGGTGTGCTCAGAGTGGCACTTTTACTGTAGCAGGTACCTCTTGTAGGAGGGGTCTATCATTTCCCTGAGTATTGGTTCATGTCGGAGTTAGTTTCCTCTTACAATGCTTTGAATTTGACCTTCCCTTCTGATCTTGTTTGTTCAGCTGCACGTGCAAAAATGCTACAAAACTTTGATGTTTTCATTCCGCACATTCCTAATTGCTGTGATTTACTGGTGACACTGAAGGCTACAAAGACCACCAGAGCAGTGTGTGAGAGAGAGGACAGGATGTTTAGCATCCTCTGTGATTTGTTTCACTCAGACTCCCATAAGCACGAGCACACATTTCCTGCCTTGCTGAGCTGTACAGCTCTAAGCTGTGAATCAGATCACACAGTTACTGAAAACCTAGCTGTCTTGGTTCATTTCCCCAGTGACAAGTCCATATTTCCTTTCACATTCATCACAAACACATGAACAAGAAGACAAATATTTACACTTATACCCACAGACGTAGATCTTTACAGTTTCTCTTTGGCTGTCTCCACAGTTACAAGCCCATCGTCGACTACATCGACACCGAGTTTGAAAACTTTCTCCAGGAAGAGCTGAAGATCAAGCGCTCGCTGTTTAACTACCACGACACCCGGATCCACATCTGCCTTTATTTCATCGCCCCGACAGGACACTCCCTCAAGTCTCTGGACCTCGTCACGATGAAAAAACTGGACAGCAAGGTACACCCAAAAACCCCCGTCATACGCTGTGCCCTTTAGCAAAAAGCACACTCGCACACCGCTGATCCTTTCCCTTTGTCTGTGAGGAACTATTGGTGTTGCTGAAACCCGACCTCCCTTTCACTGTGACCGGTGTGCATTTCACTGAGACGTGGAGATTGTTCTGGTTGGGCGTGGACCGGATTTCAAGAAAAGTTCACAAAACCTGCCCTATATGAGTTTTCAGACTTAAAAGTCATTGTGTTGCATATTTTTTGCAAGTAAAGATGTTTGGTTTGCTCTGTTTAAGGTCCAGCCCACTTTCTGAATTACCATATAATACAAAAAACTGTATATAAATAGATGCATAGAAAATCCTAAAGTACACCCTCCTGATGCTCGTCTTACTAATACAGAGTTCCCGTCTGACATATTTGCAGTAGTACTGCAGTCAATAATCCCATTCAGAGCCACATTGATTTGTGAGTTTTTGATTGCTTTTGTGTGAGTATTACTCCGCAGATTATTGATCAGTGTTTTGCCGTGCGTCCGATGAGTGCAGCCCAGTAGAGGCGCAATCACTGGCTTGGCCTCAATCTGGTGGGGAAAAAAAAAACTCATCACAGCAGCGTTTGGAGCGTCAAAGAAGGGGGGGAGAGAGTGAGTTTTAGTGTCGGAAAGGGCTAGAAAGCAAATTCTAAGGTTGAAGTTGGAGGCATGTTGAATATGTTGAGTTTTAATTTTAATATTTGGGGCCATCTTTTTCTTTGGCAGTTGAAGATTGAGCCTCGTGTGGCTATTGCTACTTATGCTACCTACCAGACTCCTTTCTTTGTAATCCAAAGAAACATAGGCATGAATATTAAACAACAGTTTTTATTATACGCTTGATTAAATTCAACCTAAACAGCTAAAACCATTTTTTTTAAATCCTAAATCTTGGTTTCAGCGTGTGGGAAGCTTCTTAATATCCTTCCACAACTCTTTAAGCTTCACTGATGGATAAAGTTTAGTTACAGTCAAATGTATACATACAACTACTGATCACACTGTTGTATAAATGGCTCTGCTTGTGTCTGGTGATGCAATAATAATGAGTCCAGAACACAGCAGATGGTCAGCTGGTGACCAAAAAAGCTGCCGGCTCACCTCCGCCAGCTATCGACGCACGGCTGCCAAATGTCTCCTGGAAATATTTCACTTCATCGAACACAGTTTTCATACTTTGTAATTTATTGCAATTTGAGCCATCGTTACTGCTTTTCAGCTGAGGACCAGCTGTATTTCTAAGGCCAGAGTCAGGGACCAGAATACGTTTCAGCAGAGAGGACTTCACATAGAAAAGGGCCCCGATCCAAATTCAGCCACTTTTCTTTGCTGTGAGGCGCCAGCACTGACTGCTGAGCCTCTGTGCTGCCTTTACCGGCCAATAGAGTGATCAAAACCTGGCACCATGCGCCTGCCAACGTCTCCTGACGCCATCCAAACTGTCTGAACCCTCCTCACCTGAGCTAAAGAGACCATCCATATGTGTTAGCTACCGTATAGCAGCTTCCCTGCTATCCTCTCTCGTAATAATCCAGTCATGTGAACCAAACCCTCTTTCTTGTGAACCCCCTGTATGTCTGTGAGGAACATTTTGGTTATGCACAGGACTTTTTTTTTATTTGCACAGTGCCAGGAAGTGTTGGAAGTGTAAAATAACAGCAATGATGGCGGCGGCACTTTACTCCCAAAATGATTAACAGCAGAGCAGTGGGTTGAGTTTTAGGCTGAGTGGGTGGCCACGGTGAACACCGCTCCGACCCCGGCGGCTCCGACCCAGCAATCTTTCCACGATGTGAAATATGACCAGTGTTTTATCTGACAGCATGCCAGTGTTGAGGGACCACAGCGTGGAGGCGACGCTGTTTTATTTTACAGCCTTGATGGGGTGTTTTTATGCAGTGGTCTCATTCTACATGAAATAATAATGTGTTGCCAGCAATATTTGCAGCTGCTCCCCACATACTATCAATCTTTGCACATTTCTATAAGCTCTGGATGGCTACAGGTCCTCCACAAAAGCACCTGCTTTGCTCCGATAGGCCTAAACCAAAGCCTGACTAAGTCACAAAGTAACTAGTGCTTCGACTAATGATTGTTTTCATCATATTAGTTATTTTTCAATGAACCGATTCACTGTTTAGTATGTAAAATGTCAAAAATACTGGAAAAAAGGCCCTCCATATGTTCCCAGATCCCAAATAGAAAAGTTAAAAATCATTTGTCCAACCAACGGTCCAAAACTTAAAACGTTGCTGTTGTAAAACAGAGAAAGTCAGCAAATCCTCTCATTTAAGAAACTGTAACTGGTGTTGGTTCATTCAGGGATGATTCAAGTTAACACTTTTACATTTTATTTCCATTGGAGGCATATATATGCTCCCATTGACAGTCAAAAACATGACTCTAGACCTTAATTCTACTCTGATAAACGTTTATCTGGAAACTAAAGATAAATAAAATGCAGAGCTGTCTACCAGATAGCCCTGCAGCAGGAAACGCCAGGGCAGCAGACCAAAGACAACTGTTCCCTCAGTCGGTAGAGTTCTAGACAATGGTGTTTTTCTAGTAAATGGAGTCTGATTCACTGCCCCCTACAGAGGACGGCTGAAGGCCACTACAGTGAGTTTGGTTTGTGGTGGATGAAGGCAGGAAGAGAGATACGGTCCTGAAGAAGGCGTCCTTTTTGTTTTAAATATTTATTACCTGAATAAGAGTAAATCATTACTAGTTAATTATGAGACACTGTGTGAGGTAAAAGAGACAGGTACAGTTCAGAACGTATCAACATGGTTCTTATATGCATTGAACACTGACACACTCCTCAATCTGTTCATATACAGATATTAAAAAAAGAAAAAGAAGCCAGAAATAGGAAATATATCAGGATATGTTAATTTCTTCTTCTTCAATAATGATCTCACATGCAACCTGCTCGACCCATCTGGTGCTCCTAGCTGTTCAGAACAAACACTGAGGACTATTTGGGAATACCCTGTGGTCAGCTGGGAAAACTGGGTTGTGGGAAGTGAACAAATCTCACTGCCCCCCCCCCCCCTCCTCCTCACCGAGTCTTCCGTCAGCGCTGGAACCCGATTAGTGAACGTGGTTTGTTAATAATGCTTAAATCACGATACTGGCTGCCCTGCTGTAAATTAATGATCCCATAAAGTATGATGAGCCTGTAATGTGACTCCTAACAAGCTCCGGTTGTGCCTCCGAGGCACACTGTTGGAAGTGATGAGTGAATCTGTGGGGATCCTCCTCGTCCTCCCGGGTTAGTGATCGGGGGGTAATGCAGCCGCACAGAAAGGAATGCAGACAAACTGTGTGTTGATTTCTGCACGTCTGCTGCTGATCGGAGCCTAGTTTGTTTTCATAATCACCGTTTGTTTTATGTATCTGTCGGGGTTCTGACTGAGCTCGTTCACTGTACAGTGTTGCTGCATATGGCCTCGTCAGCCATAAATAGCAGTGCGCTGAGTTTGTTTTTTGTTTTGTAATTGGGTCTTCAATATCTTCATTGCTTTATTCAGAGTGTTTGTTCATTACCCGCTGACATAGGGAGGTTATTTGCTCTAATCTGAAGACATTGTGTTGATTATCTGTGCATCTGCTCTCATCATATTAAGTGCATTTAGTCTTGTCATGAAGATGCATGTCAGACTAGAAAAAAAACATTACATAATGAATTCCACGTATTCGCTTTATCACAAAGCAGCTTTCAATACGTGAATGCATGTGTATTTCAGGCAACAAACTAGGACGCTGCGCTACACATTCAATAACTCTGTTTATTAAATCCCCTCTCTTTCTCGCATCCTTTCCTCAGGTCAATATTATTCCCATCATTGCCAAAGCGGACACAATCTCCAAGAGTGAGCTCCATAAATTCAAAATAAAGATTATGAGTGAGCTGGTGAGCAACGGTGTCCAGATATATCAGTTCCCAACAGACGACGACGCCGTCAGTGAGATCAACGCCTCCATGAACGTAAGTCGCGTTGTGACACTCGCACATTTCTCTTCCAACCATTTGACTTTTTACTAGAAATGTGTTTTAGTACGCACATGAATGTGTTAAATGTAGAATGATACTATGCTCTGTGGACGTGACACTGACATTTTCCATTGTCAAAATAAACCAGTTATATAGAAATAAGAATATGCATTTAACAATAAAACTGAATCGACACGTTCTTTTGGCCTTTTTTTTTAGTTCCGGTTTTGTAATGGGGATGATGCATATAACCACACTGCTCCAACACGCACCCACGCATGCACAAACGGTAAATTCTCTCATGGATAAATCAGACTTGATCTGGTTTGCCCAGACGCAGTCCTCGTACTGTATCCCCATCTATTCATAGTTGCTTACATCAGCGCCCACACTCACCAGCTTGTTCCTCTGAGCTGCAACCAGCCAGCTGGTTTCAACCCGCCACCTCATTTTTGAGGTTTGCGCATCGGGCGAGTTTTTCCCCCATGATGCTTCACTGTCGATCCTAACGAGGCTGTAGTAGCTCTGAGAGCAATAAGAAAGCGTGTGTGTGTTTTATCACTTAAACTAAATAGGCCTCTCAGCCCCAGCTGAGCCACATGTTAAAGTTAAAACACAGCGTGGTCACACTTCTCTCTGCTGTGGTCTGGTTGTGAACGATAACAGGGAGCCACATTGAAGTTTTATTTGGAAGTAAACGCTTAATCTTCATTGATCTTGTTTGTTGTGTCATTTGTACATAAAATGTTTGTGTCTAGTGAAATGCAACTTGTGAAATGCTTGTTGTGCTACAAAGAATCTCAGCATGAAGAAACTCTTTAAGAAAAAGGGAGCTGGGACTCCTCCCCCTTTTAATGGCTCCAGTTACATCGGTGGCCTCTTGACCTTTTTAACACGCATGTTTTTCTTTTTTTTCTGTGTAGGCCCATCTGCCCTTCGCTGTGGTCGGGAGCGTGGAAGAGATCAAAGTGGGCAACAAAACCGTGAGGGCCAGACAGTACCCCTGGGGTATCGTGCAAGGTGAGAACCATTCTCAAGTTACTTAGAAAAATGTTGCTGATTGCCGTCCAGTGGCGCTCACGACTTCCCTCACCTGAAAGCGGTCATGGGCGTATCATTCTCGAGGAAGTACATGGCTCAGCCTCTTTCCGTTCCTCGCAGCCTTGCTTTGTCACTTATGGAGAATCTGCATGCAGCATAACTCAGCAGCTGCAGAAGCAAGGCATCTATCGGTCTCCATGAGGAAAGATGTTCCCCTGCTCACGGCACAGTGGCCAGCGCGTCACACAGTTTTCCTGTTTATTTATACCCTCCCTCTTCACGCGGAGCTGCGACTGTGACTTCATGCAGAGTGAGACATGAAGCCAAATGAAGGACGAGCGGGTAGAGATTGTTTTAGGGAGTTGCCGGCGTGCGTTTGTGTGTGTGA